GAAAAAGCCAATGGAGTTCCCCGAAAGGTAAAGGGCCACTTTGGCCTTTGGTAAAAATTCCCCGGGGGGGCCGGGGGGAAAAAACCAAAACCGAAAGGGGGCCCCCAGGGCTAAAGGGTAACCTCCCCCCCGGGTTGGGAAAAGGGAACCCTTTTTGGTCCCCCCGGGGGGGGCCCGTTTCCTCCCGATTGGGGGGGGTTTTAGGAAGGGGCGGGCAAAATTTTTTCCCTCCTATTATTAAATGAGGCTTTTTGCCCGGGGGGGGCCCCCCCCCCCCCCCCCTTCCCGTGGGGTCATTCCCTGCCCTTTCCCCCCACACATTTTGTCAGAGCCCCCTCCCCTTTTGCCCAACAGGAATTTTGCCAATTACCCAGAGGACTCGGTGCTAGGGGTCTTTGGGGGGGTAGTAAGTTTACGGGGTGCTATGACTGGGGTTTTTGACCATTTGAGCCCCCCCCCCCCCCCCTGCGCTCACCCGCCTCAAGCTTCCCCCCCCCCCCCTTTCCTCTTCTCCCCTTCCGTCCCAGCTCCACTCATCCCTCTCTCGCCATCCCCTGCAGGTGCAGGGGAGATACGAAACGAAGATTGATGGGCTTGCCCATCCCGGAGTGGTTCGACCCCACGCAAACCCGAGACGGTGACGGGCGCTGTCTCGGTGATCTCAGGCCCAGTGAGGTAGTGCACCAGACCTGTCCCGGATCCTGCTGAACAAGTTCCTCTTATCGCCGCCGACGTCTCCCAGTGAGATGATGGAGAGGGGGGACGACACTGCTCGATCTACCCTCTGGGGTCCCTCAGCAGCGTGCACCTCGATCCTGTACCGTGTTTGTTATGACCCCCCCCAATGAACACACCAGTGAGGGTGGGCGAGACGATCGAGGGGTCCCGTACCATGCGGAATCGACCCTATCCGGTGCTCAAGTGCTCAAGAACGGAAGGAGCTATCGGCGAACGACACACGCGAGTCGATAGGAGCGACAACGAGCTGCAGGAATCGCCTCGATCGCCGCTTGATAACGCTCTCGCTTGCTCTCCGACTCACTCTTCTCCTCTCCTCTCTCTCTCGCGCGCGCTCTCCTCGACTCCTCCTCCCCGTCCCCGTGCGCCGTTCCCCCCTTCGCCCCGCCCGGGCCCCCGCCCGCCCGCCCGCCCGCCCGCCCCTGCGGGACGCGTGTGTGTACCTCACTCAACTGGGGCCAAGAGGCAAGCACTTGGAGTGCAGTCAATAGCCTCACATCCCAGGCCTAACAAAGACTAGATCTACCCAAAAAAAATTGCTTTCGATGAAAAACGAGCACGCATAGTCTCCCCCCTCCATTCTCTCCCCCTTGGCGTGGGCGCGCCTCACCCCCCAGCTCTCGGTATCGCGTACTGCACGAGGCTACCGTGGGCCCCGCCTGCGCGCTGGGGGTTCCCTGCCCTGTCGGGCAGCCTAGCTCTGAACCTGGGGTCGCTACCTAATGCGGGGCGAATGAGTGATGAAGTTAGTGCCTTGGTGTGCCCGTTCCCCGTTATGGCTTCCCCTGGTCTCGCGACCATGAATGAGAGCTCTCACTCCCAGGGTACTCCCGCGTATCTCGGCTCCCTTATCCCCCCCCTCTTCCCCCCCCTTTCTCTCTCCGAGATGACCCGTGCTCTACGTGCCTAGGGTTGGTCTTCGGGGAGGGGGGATTGTCGGTGTGTCCTCGCGAGTTTTTCTCGCTGGGCGCCCAACAGCTTCGATTTCCCTCCTTAGCGCCCCGGGTAGAGCGTGGTCTCCCCTGGAGCCTGCCACGCCCGTTCTGTCTAAGCCCAGGGTTCAGCTTTCCAGTTGATCCTTATCGGACTGGTGAGTTCCTTCTAGCTGCCAGGGGTGAGGTGAGAAGTGAGGGGTGAGGTGAGGCAAGGGTTCGGTACTATGTTGGTAGGGGAGGGGTTAGGCTGTTTGTGAGTACCCCAGAGGGGGAGGGGTGAGGGGTGAGGGGTGAGGAATGAGGGG